CCTAGTCACAGAGGGAAGTGCACAAAATTGTCTCACTCTGATTCTTTTCTCACATGGAAAATAAGCAAAAATGCATGTCATCCTGGAGGCTATGAGGAGAATCCCAAACACACAGTAACAATCTAAGAACAATATATGTTCTATTTGTCCCCTGTGCAGGTGCTGTTAAAGAAATTAAAGGGTAAAATAGAGGGCACGTTCATACCTGATGAAAATCTCTAGATTTATGTGCAATAGCAATGACCCATTGTATTTAATTTCAGAATAAAAATACTTTGCTAAACAAAAGGATATCCCCAGGTTGTTTTATTTTCCATCATGAGCAGTATCTTTCTTCTTAAAAAAGATTTTATTAATTTATTTGTTTATGTTTACAAAAAGGGAAAGGAAGGGAGAAAAACAGGGAGAGAAACATCGATGTGAGAGAAACAATGACCAGGGTGGCCTTTTGTACACGCCCTGTAGGGGGACCAAACCTGTAACCCAGGCATGTGGCCCATGAGGGAATTGAACCAGCAACTCTTTGCTTTGCAAGACAACACCTAACCAACTGAGCCATACTGGTCAGGACCATGAGCAGTAATTTTCTGAAATTCAACTTCCTGTTTAATAAATGGAGACATAAAATAAAATGCTTTGTTCATATTTTCCATAGAAAACATTAAGAGTAAGACAAATGAGGTTAACAAAATATAATGCAAATGTATTAAATGACACAGGATGATTTTCACATTTTCTTTCTTTTCAGACTCCTTCTTAAATTATATTCAGCCTCTGCGTTTTCCTCCTGTTGTCGGGCAAGCCTGCTTCAAGTTTTGTTTACTTTTGTCTTTTGCCCTTTTTATTTCGAGGATATGTTTCCATCAGCCTCCTCCAGAAGAAGGGGGAAGAGTGTCAACCGGGCTGTGTGCCCAGGGGCCAAGGGCTTCCTGACTGAGAATGCTGGCTACCTTATCCGTGCCAGGCTCCAGTAACAGCCAGGGACCCTTCCAAGTGTGGGGGGAGGGTGGCGGTGGCGGGGGGGGGGCGATAATCAAATTATCTTCTACCTAACATACGTGAAAGTTAGAACACAAGTGTGTTAATGACTTCAAGTAGTTGAGAAATTATCTTAACCTGAAGAAAGAGCTTACGGAGAACTAAAGCGACCTGATCACAGGTCTCTGTCAGAAATTTTTTGTCTAGCCCAGGAAGTGTGCTATAGTAATAGCATTTGCATCATCTCAGGTTGGTTTGACTTCCTTCTTGGAGTTGCCACAGTCAACCTGCTTCAGGCCAGCCTTCCTCATGGCTTCCCAGAGAGTGATCTGGTCTATCTAGTTCCCAGGTCTAGCAGGGTCTGGCACATAAGTATGAGTGAGTGAATAGTCTGACACGTAAGGTAGAGTTCTTATCTTCTGCATCTTTTTTCTCACCTCTGAAAGAGTCACAGCTTTGTAGTGGTGACTGGGTGAGCAAAGGGTTCTACACTCCCCAAACTGATCCCAAGTTCCTCAAGGCAATTATATAATATTCCTCAATTTTAGCATGTAGCTGTGTTCTTTTTTCTTAAGTTATTTAACAAACACATTTTTTCTAAACTAGGCATTCTTCCAATAACTTTACAAATAGCTAATTCAATCATCATGACAACCCTGTGAAATTGATACTACTGTTACCCCTATTTTACAGAAGAGAAACAGAGGCTCAGAGAGCTTAAGTAACTTGCCTGAAGTCACACAGCTAAACAGCGCAGCTAGGATTTCACCCACACAGGCTGGTTCCAGAGACAGCTCCACATACTCTACTATGCTGCCTCATCTTACCAGTGTTAGGTGGAATGATGGAGGAAAGAAACTTAGGATCTCAGGAGAAAACTGAGAAAAGAGGAGTATTTATACTATATATCCAAATGAATAGTATGTTCCAGATACTTTACACACAGTTGATACTATACAAATGTTGACACCGTATGAAATGTGATAACATTTAGGCTGATTTGAATACCTAATTTAAAAGGATTCTCTTCCTTTACACCAGAAACCAGGACAAAAATAAATTGAATGTAAACTGTAATTGAAAAATAAAATTAAAAAAATAAAAAAATAAAAGGATTTTGCTCCTTGGCTTAAAAAAATAAGTAAAACCTCGACAAGTTCTAAACAGTTTCTTCCAACTACAAAAACATAAATAAATAAATGAAACCATCCAATTGTGAGTCATTGGAAGTACTCAAAAACATGACCCACCCTGACTTCCAGATAAGTGAATAATTACTGTATTCACTTAGTAGGAAATTAAACAAACTCACAACTAGTGAAAAAGTTCAAAATTCAGTTATTCTGGTAGACAGCTATAACAAGTTTTCTAGGGCTGCTCTAACAAAGTGCCACAGACTGGGTAGCTTTAATAGTAGAAATTAATTATTGTCTCACAATTCGGGAGACCAGAAGTTCAAGATCAATGTGTCCATAGGTTTGGTTTCATCTGAGGGCTGTGAGGAGAGAATTTGTTCCAGGCCTGTCTCCTTGGCTTGTAGACGGCTAGCTTCTACCTGTGTGCCTTCCTATCACCTTCCCTCTATGTGTGTCTGTCTCTATGTCCAATTTCCCTTTTTTATAAGGACATTGATCACATTGAATTATAGCCCATCCTAATGACCTCATTTTTAACTTGATTTCTTCTGTAAAGACCCTATCTCTAAATAGTCAGTCTGAAGTACTGGCGGTTAGGGCTCCAACATCTTTTGTGGTGGTGGGGTGAGCGGAGGGAGACATGATTCAACCCACATCAGCAATATCTTACAGGAGGTAAGGACCCAGGTCTGAATTGTAGCTCTGACATTTATTAGTTCTCAGACCTCATTTCCTTCCCTTACATGAGGATAAAACAGTACCTACTTCATGTGGCTGTGAGAATTAAATGAATTAATACATGTAACGCTTAGAATGCTTGGTAGTACAATACATGCTAGATATTCATTCATTCAACAAATAGTCACTGAGCATCTGTTGAGTGCTGGTCACTGTTCTAGGTGTTAGAGATACAGAAGTAAACAAAATAGGTCACAATTCCTACCTTCATGGAGCTCATCCTTTAGCGGAGAAAGAAAAACAGTTTAAAAAGTAGAACATACAGAATGTCAGACAGTAATAAGTGCTATGGAAAAAAAATAAATAAAGACAGGGGTTAGGGAGTGTTGAGGTTTGCAATTTGGGATCAGAAAGGGCCTCATAGAGGTGTCATTTGAGCAAAGGCCTGAAAAATTGGAGGAGACAGTTAAGTGGTTATCTGGAATTTTTCAGATAAAAAGTTTCCCAACCTTAGTCCTATGACATTTGGGGCTGGATAATTCTTTGTGGTGGAGGGCTCTCCTGTGCATTGTAGGGTGTTTAACAGCATCCCTGGCCATGACCCACTAGATGCTAGTTACGGGTACCATCTACTACCCCAGGTGTGACCGTCTGTCCAACATCCAAAGATGTCTCCAGACATTGCCACACGTCCTGTGGGGTGCAAAATCACTCCTGGTTGAGAAGCACTGAGCTAGAAACAAAATGAAAGGGGGGAGGGTGACCAAGGGGGGGGCCCGGAGGAGGGGCTCAGCCTGTTTGAGGCACGGCAGGGAGGCAGGCGGTAGTAAGCAGAATGTACCACTTCACCTCTGACCTTGAGACCCCTTTTTAGGCAGATGGAAAGCCACTGGAGGACTAAGAGCGAAAAGATAACACAACTTGACCTATATTTTTAAAAGATCCAACTGGCTGCCACATTGAGAATGACTGTAGGTAGAAAGACAGAAATCGGACAGCTCAGTAGGGAGGTTGTCTCAACAATCCCATTAACATTTTATCTGGTTTAATTCGTTCACTCTTTTGGCTGGATGGTGGTGGGAGTGCTGAGAGACTTGAGCGAAGAAGTTTCCGGGAAGAAAAGAGGAAGATGAATTAGCATAAAAGAAAATATGTAGGAGTGGGCAGGATGTTTTGCAGAAGTGGCAGTGTGGTGATTAAGTGGCTTTGTAAGAGCCGAGGGGCTGTGTAGGAAAAAGAGAGAAAGTCGTGGCCCCGGGAGAGGGGGCCACGTAGTGCAGGGCCAGTGAACGCTAAACTAAGAAGTCAGAGCTCTAGTCCGCAATTAATGGCGAGACTCTGAAGCTTCAGCAATGAGGAGAACTTCGCAGCAGTGTACAGATCATAGGAGTCAGGAAGAATACTTTCAAAAAGGGTCTCCTGAAATAATTTGGGTGAGAGATAACAAGAGCCTAGGTGATCTGAGTTTAGGTGAAGGGCCTGAGCAAGACATTCTTAAGGAAGCAGAGTAAGGTCCTGCCCTGAGGACTGCAATTACCTTCTTCAGGGTACTTTTGCTTGTAGGCAAGCGCTGAAGCACTTGGAAATGTTTCCACACTATCAAGGATCAAGCCAATGCAGGTCCACCAGGAAAAGGTTTAAGTAGTGCCTTACTTTCTTGGGAATGATGTACCCAGCGGAGAATGTACTGAGTTTCTACAAGGGTCTTTTCGAAAACACTATATACGTAGGTGAGAAGAACTATGGCAACGAAGCAAAAAGCAGGTTCGCAGTCAGAGTTCTTTCAGGATGGTCGTACATTCCCATTTTTAATGTAGAATATCTCAGCAGGTTTAGGTCGTCGGTATAAGCACATCAAATCAGTCCCACTGCACTGCAGGTGTGGCCTTAAGGGCTCCTGCCTCCTCCTGTCCACCTGCTTTTTGCATTAGTTCGATTCCCGAAGGGAGCCTACAAGAGCCATCACCCCTTTTTACCCTCAGAGGATCAGGCTGTTAACCTACGCAGTGGACGTCGCCCAAGAGGGAGCCGCTGCAGTTCGCACTGCAGTTCTGCGCAGCTCGGGTCGCCTCGCAGCGGCCACCGCCCAGGGTGTGGCTGAGGCTCTGGAGCGCAGCGAGAGGGAGGGATGGAGGGTGGCGCAGGCCGGGCAGGGCGTGGCGGGGGCGCGCAGGAGGGCCGCGCAGTCGCGGGTGGCCCCGCCCACCGCCGTCCCCTCCAGCTCCGCCCGTCGCCTCGCTCCGCAGCTACCCTCACTAGCAGCAGCCCCAGGCAGTGGCACGACGGTCCCCGCCATGTCTGCGGCCATGAGAGAGAGGTTCGACCACTTCCTGCACGAGAAGAACTGCATGACCGACCTCTTGGCCAAGCTCGAGGCCAAGACCGGCGTGAACCGGAGCTACATCGCGCTCGGTGGGTGCGGGGCCGCGGCCCACCGGTGGCAGACACTGCCGGCTGGGTCCGGGAGCAGCTGCTGCACCAGCTGCTGGGAAAGCTTCAGGGGAGAGTGTTCGGGGAAGGAGATACGGGTGACAGATGGGGGCGAGCGGCATCCTCGGGGACCGAACTGGCCACCGAAAAGGCCAGGGGTCGGAGATCCCTCCTCCCAGGGCGGCCCCGACCTGGGGGTGGGGGCGCTGGCCTGTGCCCGCGGCCAGGTGGCAGAGCGCCCCGGGCGTGGGGAGCAGGGAAGGGCTGGCGCTGACGTGTCTGTCCCGGTGGCCGAGCGCCGTGGCCCCGAGCCCTGCTCAGGGTTGGCGCGGAGTGGCGGGGGGGGGGGGGGGGGGGGGGACAGCGGGAGGGCGCGGGCACTGGCGGTGATAGCCAGTCCTACCCGGACCCTCCATGGAGCTCCGCACCCAGAAGGCCTCCTGCAGGTTGGAGGGCGGGAGGAAGGGCACAGAGGTGGGGACTGCCCGTTATTCCCAGACCCACGGCAAAGCCCCGCTAAGGGGAGGGCCCAACATTCGCGTGGTTTGTTTTTCTCCACCGCTTTGTACGGCCGATCTTTGCGGTGTGGTTGTGCGTTTTGAGTACCTCTCGACCTACTTCTCTCCTTCGTCTCCAGGTGTCATCGGGGTGTTGGCCTTGTACCTGGTGTTCGGTTGTGGAGCCCCTCTCCTCTGCAACCTGATAGGATTTGGCTACCCAGCCTACATCTCGTAAGTGGCTCCCCCTGCAACCATCCTTCCTCCCTTTCATTCCCCTTCCCCCATCCAGGGCTGCCCTAGTTACTGTATCCCCAGTTTCCCTAAGAGAGCAGTCTAAGCACCACAAAATAGTAACTGAATGCTTAAGGTGCAGAGGTGTCCAATGTTTTGGCATCTCTGGGCCACACTGGAAGAAGAGTTGGTGTCTTGGCCTACACATTAAATACATTACGACACGTAGTCACCAAAAATAAAACAAAACCCTCATAATGTTTTACGTAAATTTACGATTTTGTGTTGGGCTGCATTCATAGCCATCCTGAACCCCATGCAGCCTGTGGGCCGCAGGTTGGGCACACCTGTTACAGCCTTAACTTGATGTTTGATCTCTTGATGACTAGCTGAAAGATATATTTTATCAGCTTCTATTGACAGGATGTGTACGTTATAATGGATGCACAAATTGGAAGTGTTAACAGCAAAGTTGTCCTGCCTTTACTGGTGGGGAACTCTCAACGGTACAGAGAACTGATTCCTTCTCCCTAATAATTATTTTAATGTGTATTTCACGGTATAGCCATGTACATAGACACTAAAACCCCATCAATGGGACTTCCTTAATTTTGAATTAATGTTCATTCAGACACTGGGGAGAATTTTGTCTTGCTTTTAAAAAGGCTTGCCAGAAGAACTGTACGATTTCATTCATATGTGGGATATGAAATAGAAAGCAACAAAGAAACAAACAAACAAACAAAATAAACTCATAGATGTGGAGAGCAGTGTGGTGGTTCCCAGAGGGGACGGGATTGGGGGTGGATGAAGAGGGTGAAAGGGGCCAAATATATGGTGAGGGATGGAGACTAGATTTTGGGTGGTGAGCACACAGGGCAGAATGCAAATTGTAGAATTGTACGGCTGAAACTTATGTAATGTTATTAAACGATGTTACTCCAGTACATTCACATTTAAAATAAATAAATAAATAATACAAAAATATAAGCCTTGCCACTTATTGCAGGTAAATGGGAAACACCCAAATATAAAAACAAAAACCTTATGAAACACATCCCTAATATAGCTCCTTGGTTATATAAAAGACTCATGTAATTAAACTAAATTACAAATTTATCAGATTAGGAGGTGAATTTATTATTTGTTGCAGTTGTTTACAGTGTGTTTATTTTAAAGATATACAATTTCATTTTTCCATGCATTCAACTAGGAGTTACTCCTCACATAAGTGAATTTTTTTTTTTTACTCTACAACTCTTCCCAAAAATGCTGGTGGGTTTTACGTTCATTGAATTGGTTTTTGCAACTTTTCTCAACCATAGGGACAAAGATAAAGGAAGAAAAATTTTCAGCCAGGAGACTAAGGCATAGGTAACACCTTATTACATTTTGTGTCTATCACTGGAAGGGAGGAACCATGTTTTAGAAGTTTTGATTTGCACAATTAAATTGAAATTACGTAAGTTACAGTCACTATGTTAGTCTGGTATACTTAGTAGCACTTCAGAAAGTCTAGCTTCATGTAGGACACTGCTTGCTTATGAATTTAGAGATCTTCAGCCTTCAGTCTGAGAAGCGCTTTTACCCTCTCCAGTGTTACCTGCTATAGTTCCATCAGGTGTTACATGAATACCGAGAGAATCGGAAGGCAGATCAGAAAAACTCATTTGACGTTCAGATCAATGAAAGCAGTACAAAAATAGCAGTGTTCCATGAAATGCAACCTACTGGTATATGGTGTATGTAGAAAGTTTATAGGCAGCCCTGATTCAAAAGGGCTTTCCCATCCCTGTGTCTATGAAACAGGGAAAAATCACCAAGTAGCACACTCCTTTACCCCTCTGCGGTCTATGTAGTCTACTTGCAGGAACTCTTCTAAAGAAAAGCTTTTGACGCATTTTTCAGGTTTATGCTCTAGATGTTATCACACCTAGAACAAATCTGGTGTGGCAGTTTAGTACTGCCTTGCTGCTTGAATTATATTCAGTTAGCAAGACGAGGATTTTTAAAAATACTGAATAACATAAACCTCCCCTCCCCACCCCCTGCCAATAGCAGTGCCATTTGGTACATAATCTCATAGGAAACGTAACCTCTCTGTTGGTCTGCTGAGATCATTGCTGTGGGCTTTAGAAAGATAAAAGTCTGTTGCTGGGTGGGATAGGTAGATCCATGTATGTGTGGAAGGTGATGTGTCTGAAGATGTGGACAGAACTTGAATATGCTTCTCCTTGACCTGGAGGGGATTAATTTTCACAGGGGCCATTTTTTAAAGTCAGGTTTTAAAGTAGTTTCTAGCCAGTTGATTTCAGCTTTATCATTTTTTGAAGTCAGTCTTCCATTCCTTTTTTAACATAGCCAATTGAATATTATTGGCTCTTTTGCTTACAAGAAGCTAAATGTTTCCATCTATTGCTAAGAATTCTATGAAATGGTAGACAGTCATATTTCTGAGTAGTTCAGGTAAGTGGGTTTTACATATTTTAGAATTATTTTATTCACGAAGTATATATTCTGAGACAAAATGACATTTGTAGTACCTCCTAATCGGAGCTGGAAAAGTATTAAGAATCTAATAGAGGGAATTTAATGATATAAGCAAAAATGTAGGAAATAATGACTATTTCTGGATTAGTATTTATTCATAGGCTGCGTCCCTTTGGAAGACCCAACTCTTTTACCTTTAAAATAAATACAGGGTTCTCTGACGGTAAGAGAAGTAAAGGTTAGTCTCTGGGTACTTGGACTTTTCCCTAAAACAGTGGTTCTCAGCCCTGACTGCGCATCAGAATTATCTGAGGGGCCTTAAAGAATACTGATGCCTGGTGTCCACCCCCAGAGATTCTGATGTAACTGGTCTGAGCTGTGGCCTGGGTTTTGGGATTTTTAAAAAGCCTCAATCTTTTACAATATTTTAAGGGTTCTAATGTGCAGTCAGTGTTGAGAACCCCTTGGGAGGAGTGGCAGCAGTAACCTGTGCTCGTTACGCTTGAAGATGGGCCTCTGCGCACAGTATGAAGCAGCCGGCCCTCCCGTCAGTGAACGCAGAGGCAGCCCCTTCTGTGTTCGTCTGACTGAGTCTGTTCATTGCTTAACCAGTGTGACTGTATAATTGTCATAAAGTCCTTCAAAATGATGGTATTAATAGCATCTAAATCAGTGTTACTTCAAGTGTGATCTGTGATCACCTTCACTTTAAATGTTGTCTTTGCCTCTTGTAATTTTCCCTGTGCTCCCTAGCGAGATTTATTCTTTTTTTTATATTAAAAAAAGAAAGATTTTATCAGAGAGAGGAGAAGGGAGGAAGAAAGAAAGAGAAAGAGGAAGGGAGGAAGAAAGAGAGAGAAACAGCTCTTGGTTGCCTCTTGCAAGCCCCCAACCCCCAACCAGGAACCTGGCCCGCAGTCCAGGCGTGTGTCCTGCTGACCAGGAATTCATCTGATGACCTTTCAGTTTGCAGGCCTGCACTCGATCCATTGAGCAACACCAGCCAGGGCTTTTTTTTTTTTTTAACTTTAAAGAAAAAAGAACTTTTATCCTCACCCAAGGATATGTTCATTGATCTTAGGGAAGGAAACAGCAACGTGAGAAACATCGATCAGTTGCCTCCTATATGCACTGCCCACCCCATCAGGGACTGAACCCGCAACCTAGGCATGTGCCCTGACCTGGAATTGAACCCGCCATCTTCTGGTGCACTGGACAGTGCTGCAAACAACCAATCCACCCAACCAGGGCCAGCCACAATACAGGCTCATCACCCTGTGACTGGTACACGAAGTGTTCATTTTATTATAGGTGGTTGTAGAGAGTTTGCTGTTTTGGGGTTGCCTTGATGGGTTTTAAATAGAGTGTGAGATGATACGATGAAAAAGTCACTCTGACTGCTGTGATCTCTAAAAGAAATTGGCAATCCTGCCAAACTGTTCTCTGTCCCCTCTTTCCTTACCTATTAGCTTTTGCTCCTCCTGTTTTCCTCTCTTTGGACCATCGTAGAGAGGGGTCGTCGGATATTACATAAAGGTCAGCATTGGGCCTGGGGGCTGCAGGGTGCAGAAGTACAATTTGTGAAAGCTCAGCTGGCTTCCTAGCTTTCCTTCTGACTCACTGCCTTGGGAAACCTGTGGGTAGGGCTCAGGTGCGCCTGGCTGCAGGTCAGGTCCTGACACGAGGGAGCACGCCGAGAGCTGAAGGCCTGGCCAGCGCTCAGGGAGGCAGCCAGCGCCGGCGGGGACTCCCTTCCTCCCGGCTGCTCTCATTTTCGGAGGACATAGTTTCCCTTTGAGCTTTTTGAGAACAGAGCCTTTAATTCTCTACTGTGTTTCCAGACTTTTTGGCCACCAGACTTTTTATCTGTAGGCAATATGAAATCTAATTCCAGCCTCCGCATTATCAAGAGCTGTTGACAGAATTACTTTAATCTCCTACTTTCCTCTGTTCCTGATAAGACTGTTGGATAATAATAGGAACTTCCATTATTAAGGTAGACCTGCCCCACCTTTTGCTGAGATATAATTCACATGCAACCTTTTTAAAGTGTATAATTTAGTGGTTAGTATATTCATAGAGTTTTGAAAGCATCACCACTATCTAATTCCAAAACATTTTCATCCCTCCAAATGGAAACCCTACACCCCTTAGGAGTCACTCCCCTTTTCTCCTACTCCCCAGTCCCCAGAAACCACCATTTTATTTCCTGTCCTTAGGATTTGCCTATTCTGAACATTTCATATAAATGAAATTATATAATATGTGGCCTTTCTGGTTTTCCTGGTGCAGCCTTGCTTTTAATGGCATTGCACAAATAAGAGTCCTTGTGAGGGCCCTCTCAGGAGTGTGTGCCAGGCTCCCCTTCATACACACAGTCTGTGGCCTGAGACCTGAGGCAGCCCCCGCCCGGGGCTCCTCAGGTGTGGGCGCTGGCCTTCCCCCTGCTGCTTTGTTCCAATGGAATTATGAGGGAAAGTCTAATGACTTTTATTTTCTACTTTTATTTT